TTTTTGTAGCCAAAGAATGGAAAACAAACGGGGGCTTAATAAGAAGAGTGTGGGCCAAACAGGTGCTAAATAAACTTGCAAAAAAACATTCAACCCCTGTTTGGCTCCCATTATTTGAAAATTTAGCCCTTGTTTGATCCCCATTTTTGGGGAAGTAATGCAATTTGAATAGTAGAATGATAGAGAATGTGGTAAAAATTAGACAAAAGTTCTGAATTTGAGTGTAATATTATTTTATTGAAAAAATGTATGATTGAAAATGAATTTTGACAAAATGAATTTTTAGAAGAATGAGAATCAAACAAGGACTTAATTAAAAATAAGAATTTTTTTTAGAATTACTTGTAATATTATTTTATTGAAAAATATGTGATTGATAAGAAGTGAGAGAAAAATGAATTATAATCTAATGGGGCCAAATAGTGCTAAATAAACTTGCAAAAAACATTCCCCAAAATTCAAATTATCTTAATACCATAATATGACTGAAATATTCGTTTATTGTTATGATCATATTAAATTGGACTTTGTTATATGAACATAATGTGCTATATCGGGGGTTACATAATGGACACACGGCATCTCGACATTGATCGAGGCGCCTGTCGCACCTCGAGCCCACAGGCGCCTCACCAACTGCGAGACGTCAAGTGTCCACTATATAGCCTCTTTTGTAGCTCATTATTTTTATCTAGCATTTTCCTATTAAATTGGTTAGGAATTAGATTAATATATTTTTCCAGTCTTATATTCAAGTAGTTGTGTGATTGAAGTACAGAGTGTTTTTGGTTTAATCAAAATATCAAGTCAACATCCTTTTCCTTGTCTGCGCTCTGCCGCCGAGACAGTTTCCATCCACTAAATGCTTGTTTGCGACTGACTTGTCAACAAAATCATTTTTAACTTATTCACATTTTAACAGCACATTTTTTAAAAAATTAGTCACTTAAAAAAAATCTATACCAAACAAGCTACAAATATGATAATACTTTTGCCACTTCCTTTTAAATTATCTCTAATTGCAAACTTAATTAAAAAAAAAAAAAAAAATCTATGCCAAACAGGCTACAAATATGATGAGATTTTTTATATTTCATTTAAAATATTAAATGATCTCTAATTGCAAAATTTAGTGCCTGTTTGTCTTCTTTTAAAATTTTATATTATTTACTACAGTATTATTCTCTATCACACATTTACACAATTAAATATTTTATACATAAATCAATAAAATTTCTTTACTTTTTGACAACATAGTCTCTAAAGATACTATTCAAAACTCTTTAATTTTCGGGTGACAATCAAGAGGCTTAATAAAAGAACAGAACCATTTTTTCAAGTTCATACACAAACAAAAAAAATTAAAATAATAATAAAAAATATTGGAACCAGCAAATTATAAATTTCATTTTTTTTTATTTTTAAACAAGAAAATATCATCTTTGCAGGCCCATCAAACGCCGGAAGTCCTCGAGACAGACAAACCCATCCCCGTTCCTATCATGCGACGGCAATCCTCTAACGTGCACCGTGAGTCTCCAATAGTTTTAAAAACGTTGAGCAATTCTTCCATCGCTGTCTTGCCATCACGATCGGAACCAAAGTAGTCAAACGTCTCCCTCAGCTCGGCTTCCAAAGCTTTCGGGCCAAAAGCTGAGCCGATCGTGTTAACTCTTCCAAGCTGATACACCCATCCCCGCCTTTATCCACTTCGTTTAACATCATAGTCAGCTCCTCTTGGCTCGACGGCTCGGCTCTAATGCTACTCAACAAAGTTTTCAGCTCCTCTTTCTTTCCCTATCTATCATCTCGATGCATGCCAAATGTCTAGATTTTAATTAAAAAAAAAAAAAAAAAAAAAAAAAAATACAGGAGGAGTTTTCCTGATCTTGCACAACAACCACCACGTCCATCATTTCTTCCTCTACCTTCTGCCCGTGGGGATGTTCATACGTTTTGGCTTACACCTTCTATGAATGATGATGTTTCTCAATTTGAGCATCCCCCTCCCTTTACGAGACCAATGAATTTTGAAAACAACCCATCAAATTCTGCACCCTATGCACAAATGAAATCTCGAGATGTAATCACTATATTTTACATGGTATTTGTACGAGATTCATCAAAGGTAACTGCAAGAATGGGGAGCATTGCACATTAGCTCATGTTGTTGAAGATTTACGAAACCCCCTCCAAATTGGCAAGAACTTATTCGAGGAAAGAAGAGAGGCATCGGGAATTTTAGTGATGACCAAAGAATGATACACATGATGAAAATTTCAATTTGTTTTACAGTGCACACGAGCGTCAATATGGAGAGAAATGCAACTTTCTTCATGAACGTCCAAAGAAATTTATGACTGACATTTCCAAGCAAAAGAGAGTGCTGTGGAAAGTACTGGAACTTCAAGGCCTGATTTGACAAACAAAAGTGATTATTCTCAGCCTGATTATGGTAAGAACGTCAGCAGCAGTTCCGATATTTTCCAAGCAACAACAACATTTTGGAAAACGATACTAGGTTGCATTAAATAGCAACGAATAACACATTTTGTCCTTTTCAGCTAACTACAAATTTTGGTGATCCAAGTAACACATTCAAAATACTATTATGAATATTGATATTTGTTTTAAAATGACAAGTGTACGTAGTTATACTATAATATTTGAATAAAAATGAAAGACAAGGAATATCATGAAAAGTATTTTATCAAGATCCTAATGTCTCTCTTTTACCTAATTCAAAGCCCTTCTTATAATCATTTCAATAAAACATTTCCTACTTGAGAATCGCTTTCAATTAGTAGCATGTTTATTTCCTATTGAAAATAATTTACATTTTATGTAAACTTCCAATACATATGCTTTTGATTCTGCAGATTTGTAGTTCCCTGGTTTGGTAAGGAATTCAGGGCACAAAATTCCAGAAGAGCCTCTCCTGGCGGCTGTAATTGGTTCATCTCATGCAACTGCAGTCATTGTTGCTTTGTAAATGAATATGCAGAAAGAAAGAAATGGAAGCTCGGCGGGCTGGTTAAGAGGATTTATGCTGAATGCTTGGATGATTTCTCGCCATCTCACAACTCCCCTAACAATGAGGAGATATGAATTTGAGATTAGTATCTCTCAATTACTGTCGGAATTTTTGAAGATGAATGATTATGATCATTTGACTAAACTTTTTTCGCTTCATTTGGGATGTGTAATTTTTAATTTCAACGGTAGATTCCATGCATTTTCCTTCATTGATTTGAATCATTCAGTATAATTTTGATTGAATCAATTTCTGTAGTAGGTTCAAATACATTATCTTGGTTTTTATGGTCGCGTTTTTATGTTTTAAAGGCTCTTAATGTGTTCATTAAGCCCCTGTTTGGTTTCCATTATATTTCTTCATTAAAATGAAAAATATAACCATTATCCATCACATCAAGCCATCAAATTTAAATTCCTATCTCTTCTGTGCGGCCCATAACGACTATATTTTTCATTTTCATTCTTTCAAAAATGAGAAACAAACGTGGGCTAAATCATCATGATACAATTTTTAACTCTCGATATGGATATGTACTTTTTGCCTCACAATGACATGCATATGCAACTGGGCAAGGTATTACAGTCAATACAGACCCAAGGTGTAAAAATAAGTTTGGCTGCCTTTAAAGAGGCCCCATATAGGCCATTTTAGAATGATGCTTGGCCTAGCCAACATGTCCAAGTGAAGCAGATTTTTAATTCTTTCTCCTTCCTTTTTTTTTTTTTTTTTTTTTTTTTTTTTTTTTTTTGTTTTCGGAAAAAGCCAATGGGAGCCTGCACAGCCTACCAAAAAGGGACGTGAATTAAATTGTCTAAGCATTATTATTACGATAAATAAAATAGAGCGCCATCAGTAGCGAGGCAGCATACCGTCAGCAATGAAACAGTGAACCATCAGCTAAGTGGCTGTCTTCATGTGATCAACCTTCGAATAATAAATGTGTTCCTTTGTACCTGCATCATCCTTCCATGATGGAGACAGATTCAAGCTCGAATCATCGTTGGGGTCAGGGACGGGGGTCATATAGGGTCACTTGACCCTCTAGTTTTTGTGATATATATATATATATATATTTTAAGTTGTAAAAATCAAAACTAAAGCCCTAAATTGTTTGAAACCAGCAGAAAGAAAGAGGCACTCTACTGCTCAACTACACACCGTCTCTCCCTCCCACTCCGCCTCCAGCACTCCGCACTCCCATAGGCCACACCACAAGCAGCCAGCACTCTCACTTTGCACTCTGTCTCTCTCTCCTACCCCTCCTGCACTCCAGCACGTAGCCAGCAGTCCAGCACTCCGTCTCTCTCTCGTTCCAGACTTCCAGTCCATCACTGATATCACTCCAGTGACTCCATCCCTGCTGTAAGCCGCCGACTTCTTGAATCTTGAAGTTGAAGGTGTGTCAATTCTATTTGCATTCCTGATTGGCTGAGTTAGTGATTTGGTATTACTTGTTTTTTCTAATTTTTTATTTAGTTTCTATGTAACTAATTTCGAGTTAGGGATTTTTTGATTTAGGAATTTAGAGATTTTCAATTTAGAGCTTTCTTATTTATATGTGAATTGATTTAGGAAGGGTGAAACTTTGTTTGAATTTTGGTAGGTATGATTTAGATTCTTAGAAGAAACTGGTTTAGGGATTTCTAATGTCGTCGATTTTTTGTTTGTATCAGTTATGGACAAATACTTTAAACGTAAATCTACCCCTTCTTGTGATAGGCAAAATATCAGTGAAAGGAATGATCGAGGGAAAAGGGATCAAAATAATGTTGATGTTGGGGGTATTGGAGATGTTGGGGATGTTGGGAGTATTGGAGATGTTGATATTACACAGCTTTCCCCAGATCTTGGATTAAGAGTTCCAATATAGAATTATGATGTTAACGTTCGAGACGTGATTCGAAGAGCATATGTGTAAAGGGGTCCTTGTTAGCCTCGCAATCATTCGTTTCTATCTACAAGAATGGGTAATAAAGACAGGCGATTTAATGAGCATCCTACTTGGTTGGAATATAGTATAGCAAAAGATGCAATTTTTTGCTTTTACTGCTATCTTTTCAGTTTGAGTGGTGGTTCATTTGTTAAAGACGGATTCTTAAATTGGAAAAAGAAAGAATATATTAAAAAACATGTTGGGGCTTCAAGTAGTGCAGACAATCAAGCTCGGGTTAAATATGAATTGTGCAAAAATAAAAAACAAAGCATTCGAACCTGTCTCGTTAAGCAATCGCTTCAAGCTCGAACAGATTATCGAATTTGATTGAATGCGTTAATTGATTGTGTTAGATTTTTTTTTACGACAAGGGTTGACATTGCGTGGACATGATGAATCTGAAGATTCAAACAATCAAGGAAACATTTTTGAACTATTGCATTGGTTGTGTGATCATAATGCTGAGATTAAGGCTGTTGCTTTGACGAATGCACCCGAGAATTGCAAATTAACATCGCCAAGAGTGCAAAAATATATTGTGAGTGCTATTTCTTCTGAATGTCTACAGGTGATTATCAAAGATGTTTTTGACAGTTTCTTCTTAATTTTAGTTGATGAATCTCGAAACATTTTAGTGAAGGAGCAAATGTCAGTTGTCGTTCCTTATGTGACGAATGGGTGTGTATTGGAACATTTTACTGGTGTCATTCATGTTTCGAGTACCACAGCTGCCTCACTTAAAACTGCAATTGATTAATTATTCTCAACACACAGCTTAAGCATATCTAATTTGAGAGGTCAAGGATATGATGGAGCTAGTAACATGCGAGATGAGTATAATGGCCTCAAAGCACTTAGTTTGAAAGAAAACCCAAGTGCTTACTACATTCATTGTTTTGCTCATCAACTTTAACTAGCTCTTGTAGCTGTGGCACAGAAAAGATTGAAACTTTCTTCACTACTATACACAAATTGGTGAATATTGTTGGGGGATCAGCTAAACAGAGTGATCTTATTCGAGATGACCAAAGATTGAAAATTCTTGAATCACTCAGTGTTTGTGAAATATCAAACGGACGGGGTCTCAATCAAGAAATTACACTTCAGTGTCCTGGTAATACACATTGGGGCTCTCATTATAGTTGTTTGATTAACTTAATTATCATGTTTCCAACCATAGTCGACGTTATTGAGATGATTGCTACTGACACTACAAGTACTGGAGCAAGAGGGATTCATGTATTTCATTGGAGATAATGTTAAGATTTGAATTTACATTTAATCTACATCTTATGAAAAAGATTCTAGGGATTTCAAACAAATTGTCTAGAGCATTACAAAGAAAAGATCAACATATCGTCAATGCTATGAGATTGGTGCAAATATGCAAAGCCCAACTCTAAACCATGAGGGATGATGGATGAGATTCTTTTTTTGGACTGGTTTGTTCGTTTTGTGAAACTCACAATATCAATGTTCTCAATATGGATGATATGTTCATAACTCTAGGTCGTTCACGATGTGAGACAATGAAAAATTTGCATAATTTTCGGGTGGAAATGTTTTATGCCATCATTAACATGCAACTTCAAGAGTTTAATGATCGTTTTTCTGAGGTAAATAGTGACTTGCTCATTTGTATTGCGTGTTTGTCTCCAAATAATTCATTTGCTGCTTTTGACAAGACAAAAGTGCTGCAACTATGTCAGTATTATCCTGTAGATTTTGATGCAGTAGATATCTCTGAACTTGATGATCAATTAGATACATATATTCTTGATATTCGTACTTTTGAAGATTTTGAAGGATTACAAGGTATTAGTGATCTTTCACAAAAGTTGGTTGCGAAGAATAAACATAAGGTGTATCCATTAGTCTACAAGCTTGTGACATTAGCTTTAGTTCTTCTCGTGGCTACTGCTACAGTTGAGAGAGCATTTTCTTCGATGACTTACGTTAAAAATCGTCCATGCAATTGAATCAGAGATCAATGGCTGAATGATAGTTTGATTGCATATATTGAGAAAGATGTTTTTGATAAGATTGAAAATGATATAATTATAGAACGTTATCAAAGTATGAGAACACGTAGACAATAATTGTAAGGAGATATCTCGTACTTCAATTTTTTGTCACTTTTTTGAAAGTTTGATTGTGATCCCTAATCCGAAATGTTTGCGTTTGCCCCTGCTAGGGAATAATCATAGAAGGGTGAGAATCATTAGGCCATAGCCCCTAATTACTGCAAGCAAAGAAAAAGCTCTGCTTCTAATTTTGTATTTTAGTTTGGACGTACTTACGAGCTTTAGGCATGTTTTGGGAGAGCGAGGAGAAATGTAGTAATACACTTTATGTGAGTACATTTTATCTCTCTCCAAATCCGTAATATTCCATAACAAAAGATCCAACCATATTGGCTTACCCATTACGAGGTAAGTTGGACAGGAGCAATATTAAAAAGCAGAGAATAGTACAAAAAAAAAAAGAACAGAAAGGAATTTTAAGCCCTATATTCATCGAATGCTTATGGATAGAAGTATAATCATGGAGAGGGCAGTTTGCAGTTTGGAATTGCCTAGAACAAATCAACTCTATGTCAGTAGGGATACCAAAGCGAACCCTAATTTCACTTAAGTCATTCTCAATAATATTAGTAAATGTCTGTGAGGCTTCGAAAGCCCACCTATCACTAGTATTCAAATTGACCGAATCATTTGAAGAAATGGGAACCTCATCAATCCTAGGTTGGGAATGACCTATCTATTTAAGAATTTCACGTTATCCCAGAAATGGGTGGGTTCGTTATAGAATAAGGTTGTGCCTCAGGGCATTGAGGGGAAAAGAAGGCACACCAAGGGGGGAATCCCTAAGTTTAGAGCTTTCGACTTTTGAGTCTTGTGACTTACTCTAGGAGTCACTCTTAGAAGACACGGTGACAAAAAGAATCACAAAAATAGAATGCAAAAAAGACTTCTAAAGAAAAAAGAATCTACAACGAAACAATGTATAGCACAAATAAGGCAAAAAGTCACGAAAATGAAGTAAAGAAGAAACTTACAAAAAGGAATAATGTATTCATAGGTTATAAAAAGGAACGTAAGCCATTAGACTACAAACTCAAAAAAATTGTAACCATCCAAATTATCCAAGAAACCATGGCCATTAGCTATTGAGGGGCACCTCATTGAAAATTCAAAAAGAACGGATACGAATATATCTAACTGACGCGCATGAAATGTGTGCACGGCACTAACTTGGAAACGCATAAAATATGCCCTATAGTGCAAGCAAACAACTGCTACAATCATAGCATCTTCCTTCAATATAGCCCACGAGTGGGCACAAACAATGACATGCTCGCATGTTAATAGAAATACAACAAATCCTAGATTTAATATGAATAATGATATCAGACTTCAGGGACTATTTTTCAAAACCTTGAAATATACTCGCGAATCTTGCCAACTGATAGTGAAGTGCAAAGCAGTACTTGAGAGAACAATGACGTAAAAGATTTGCCCAAAGTAGTAGAACCTCCTCCCATCTAGATTGGCTACAAGCTGTTAATAAAATAACACTTAGGCCAATGAATTAAACGTGATACTCTTAGCACAATCAGTTATAAGTTAATCAATAAGAGACTGTCATCTATCGTTCTCCCTAAATGTTCGAGTTACCTTAAAACTTAGAGGGAAAGGCATGCAATTTAAATATTCCCTTCCAGATGGCCATTTTCCCTCCCTCTTGTTCAAAATTTGAGCATGGAAACTAATGAATTTAGGAGGTGAAATTCTGACTATGTAAAAGAATATGTTGATCTGATTTCTATAGTCAATGGAAACCACACCTTAAAGACTTTTAAATAACTATGATCTAACTAGTTAATCGAAAAGATTGATTAATGATTGCCAAAGAGTCTTTGGAGCTAAGTTTTGTTAGTAGATATTGAAGTATATATTCAATTATTTCGGATTGTTGGATCAAAATTTTGTCTCGCTTCTTCTCTACATACGTATTCTTGGAGGCACTACACAAAATTGAGTTTCCACCATGACATAAACCCTATTTGAAGACTTTCTAGGTCATGAAAATGAGTGTTATGAGATGTTTTCACGATGGATAGATGTAAGGAATTTTTAAACGATCGTGTGGGCTTATATGTGTAAATCGTTATGTATTAAATTAAAGGCTATCGAATACGATTGAACCCATTTTAAGTGATCTAATAAGGTTTCGATTTTGGGCCGTTATGCATCCAATTAAAGTATGGGCTCTATATGTGTAGAGACCGGGTCCAAGTTCCTAATTCTATAATGGGCCGAATTAAGTCAAGGGGCGTTAATATATAAGTATGGTTATGGTCTCCAAATCACACGTACGTATTTGCTCATTCTGTTCTGCCTTCCATCGCCAGTGAGAATTACTGGTTGCATGTAGATTTGGAAGACTAAACCGTAGGATTCAAGTATTGCATTAACCATATCTGATTCAGGTATGCTTCCGCTATAGTTCTTGAATTTCTTGATGATCCAACATGAAAGATCCGGTGATTTTGAGGTAATGAATTTCCTACAAGTGGTATCAGAACCTTTTCATGTTGAATTATTGAGAATCAAATTTTTGGGATCTTGGTTCTTGCAATTTTTTTAAGTTTTCAGATTTAACAATTTTGGATCTAGTTTTTGTTGAATTTGAGAACATTGCGGCATGTTATTCTTTGTTATCTTCCATAATTTGGATTTAAAAAAAATTGACGAATTTTAAGATTATGAATTTTAGAGGAATTTCAGTTTTTTTTTTTTTTGGATTTAAAGTTACAGATTTATAAAAATAAAAAAAATATGAAGTGCCGACAGCGACGCTGTGTGTGGTTGTGTGCACATCGTGGGCGCCGTTGCTACAGGCCCCGGCATGAGTTGCTACGGCGTCTGCTCTAATGCTGGCGTTGGAGTGCACCGCCACAA